CTCTCTCTCTCTCTCTCTCTCTCTCTCTCTCTCTCTCTCTCTCTCTCCCTCTCCCTCTCCCCCCTCTTCTCTTTCTTCTTTTCTTTTCCTCTCCCGGTTCCCTCTTCCTCTCCCTTTCCCATTCAAAAGCCATGAAAAAAAGGGGAGGGGTACAAAGCTCGAGCAGTGCTTCTCTTTCTCCTCATCCTAACTCTCCACTCACTTTCCGAGTACTCCCTAACCCGGAGGCAGGAGGGCAACCTGATTCGGTAGCTGCTTAAGCAATACAGGACCCCTTAAGCAGACCCACAAAACAAGCATATAAAAGGCCAAGGCCCGCTGCGGCGACAGCTCGTTAAATTCCGAGATCTTTGAACGGAGATCTTCCGTAACCCAGAGAGGGTAGCTCCTCCACACACTCCCCCACCCCCGCCCTCCGCCCTTTCCCCCTTTTCAGCTCTTTCTCCACCCCTCCCCCCTTCGCACAATAGACGCTGTACTAGCTCTGGGATTCAAACTCCGGACCCTCCGCAGCCCAGCCGCGTTGGCACTCCCGCAGACGAGGGGCCCTCGCAGACGGCGGCCCCCACCCATGGCCCCGGCACAACCCTGCTCCCAATCCACATCTGGCTAGCCAGTCCACCAGCCACCCGCCAGCCAGTTTTGTGGATTGCAGGGAGGCCTAGTTCCTGGGAACTCATTCCTGACAACAGTGATGTTTTACATTACTGATCTCCACTGGGCTAGCCACTTAATCCTCTTTTTCTTTCTAGCATCCTCGGTTTTCTTTTCATTCCCTTTCCTCTTTGCTCCCGACTGCTATAAAAAGCTCTTTCTGCTCTCTCTCGGCTCAGGGAAAAGCTGGCCTGGGGAAGCAGGGAGATATTTGCAGAGGGCGTTGCAGAAGACAGCCAGGAACTCTAGTCTAATGCGGGCACGAGTGTGTGCTCACACCCGAAGAGAGCCGAGGTGGGGATAGAGACAACAGAAGATAAAGAAGTTTTTAGAATTTCACTGAAATCCCAAGGCCGCATTAGTCTTTCCCACTCCAGGCGGCCTAAACGTTGCCCAGGCAGAAGTACATGCTAGGCAGTTGGCCCTTTGCAAACGCGGGCTAATGAACGACTGACCTTCCTCGAAACAATGGAGTAATAACTAAAGTTCTCGGCTCCACACGGTTAAACTAAAACAGTTTTCAACCTCATCCAGTTTATTTTACTGAGAAACACACATACACGCATATTTAAGCAGGAACACATGCGTAGAGATCGAGTCTTATATTCCAGCTGGGGTTTCTGGAGTTGTTGGATCATTCCCTCTCACTCCCCTTTTTTGTATAACTATTAATAGTTCGATTTCTATTAATAGCTAATGGTTCATCTTTTCTTCATTTTCCCGGAGCCTATATTGTATATATATTTTTAAAATTCTTCAGCTCTTGGTATACTCGTGCCCATGTTTTAATATTTATTTTGGACACTTTTTTTGGCTAAGTTTAAAAATGAATTTTCCGGATGGGAAATGTGTGTTTTAATTCACTCTTTTAAAGTCCTTAAAAGGCTGGGCCTGCTACACATTTGAGGTAAGTCCTATAATTTCTATTAATTGTCATTTTGGGAGGGTTTTAGGACCATAACTCCAAAAGGCGCCTCCTATTCAAGGAAAATTAAATAAGTCAAAGTCTAAAAAAATTTCTTCTTTGACTCTCTTAAAAAAAGGAGAAAGAACGAGCAGGATACTAATTGTGTATTTAGATTTTGTTAGCAGAAACCACAAAACACAGGGAGTGGAAATCGAGAGGCTTGAGCGGCTGTTAAAAAAAAACTCGAGTGAGAGGAGACCCGAGGAAAGAAAAAAAGGGGAAGTGGTCGAGAGAAAAATTGAGCAAGACAGGAGAAAGAAAAAGGAGAGAGAGGGTAGGGCAGCAGCGAATGTGTATTTTACAGCTTTTTCTAGTTAAAGCCAGCACAGGTTGGAGCCTGTTCTGAACTCTTTCCTTGGTTATAGTGTTTTTATTAGCGTTAGAGTTTCGTTTCACGTCAGAGAAACACAATGCAAAGCGGGAAAGAGAAATGGGGGCGCAGCCCTCTCATAGAGCAGGGGAAGGGGTCTAGTTGCGAGTGTTGCACACACTCATACACACATGGCAGGCTGCCTTTCCGCTGAAGCTAAAGGGGAAAAGGCAAGGCACCAAAGTTTCCCGAATTTCCCTCTATATCCTTTTGTACTGTTGCATCTCTTAGACCAATGCAAGCTCCATCCCCTTTCTCTCCACTCCTACCCCCAGCCCCTCTCAGACTAATGGTCGTGCCTACCCGCACTCTGGCTTCCGTGAGGTTGGTCCACACGGCGATCTCTTCTCTGGTGGACATGTCCGGGTAGCGGTTCCTCTGGAAGGTGGCCTCCAGCTCCTGCAGCTGCTGGCTGGTGAAGTGAGTACGCTGCCTCCGCTGCCTCTTCTTCTTGGATGGGTCTTCAGCCCCGGCGTCCTCATTCTTGCTCTGCTGGCTTTTATCTTTTTCTGGAAAGACAAGGTAGAAGGGAAGCCCGTCATTGTCACCCTTAACTACCTAAAACAACAACAACAAATCCCCAACCGAGAAATTTCGCTTCTATGGAAGCTGCCCTAGAAGAAGGAGCTGGGCTGTTCTTCTGGGAGGCTGTTCTCTGAAGATGACTGTGTGTATGTGTGTGCGGGCGCGAGTGTGTGTTTCTCTCCTTCCCCTCCCCCCCTCGTAAGGCGCGCTATTTACATGTTTGTCTTAGTTCATTTTTTAGAGCACGTGCCTGCATATTTATCTGTTTACACACCAAAGTCACACACATACTCGCCTCGAAACAAACACGGGTCGTTCAGACCCCCCGGATTAAAAAAAAAAAACCAAACCAGGTTTCGACTCGTTTCACATGGGTACGGAGGGCTGTACAAATCTGGGCTCTTGCCTGCACTGAAGTCCCCTGGCCCTAGAGCTAATCCTGTCACCTTCCCAAGGAGTTTCGAGGAGAGGTCAGGAGCTGCCTGCCTGCCTTCTTTCCTACCCACAGCCCCTCGAGCTCCTGCAGGGCTGAAGTCGGAAGGAGGGGACGCAGAGGAAGCCCAGGGCACGCAGCGTCACCGCCCTTTGCCAAACTGCAGGGTGGGATTTTGCACCCTGAGATTCAGAAGGGAAAACAAAGGGTTTAGGGCACTGGCGGGTAGCAATTAATAGTCTCTCTAAAGTAGACGTAGGACAACAGAGTTACTTCCCCAGGCCAACCAGGCAGTTCTATCCAGGGGAAGAAAGGAAGAGGAGGTGGTGAACAGAGCCGGGGCAGGTAGGGAAGCGTCCCGGGGCTGGTCGGGAGGAGTCCCTGGGACTAGCTGCTGGAGGCCCCGATCAGGGGTCCAGATGCAAGGCAGATAGACTTCTCTGGAAGCTATAGGGGGCGACGTAGGACTGGGCCGTGAGAGAGCTGGGCAGAGGCAGGGTTGTCCCGTTCCCTTACCTGCGGCCTCGGGACTGGAAGTGTCTGAGATGGTGTGCACCTCCAGCCGGTGCTTGGAGGAGTCCAGCGAGCGTGGCTGCCCTGGAGCCAGAACCGAAGCCATGGCCAGTGGTGGTTGGTGATGGTGACAGAAGGAGGAAGAGGAGGAAGAGGAGAAGGAGGAAGACAGCTTAGTCCCTGCGGCTCGATGCTCCAAGTGGAACGGGGTTTTCATGCAGTTCATTGACCAAAGGAAGCGCAACGCCAAGCGTCTTGCTGCGAGTCTTCGGAAAGCGCCCTTACGCCCCCCACCCCCCACCCCCTAAGTCCAGTGACCGCAGGCGCTAGCTCCGAGCTGCACTCCAGGCTCGCCGTCCCGGGCCACCGCCGCTGCCGCCGCTGCCTGCCAAGCGCTCGGAAACACAAACAGCAGAGGCAGTGGCGAGAGCCGGGTCCAAGACACCACTCGTCAGTTACCCTGTCCGCAGAGAGAGCTCTTCCGGATGTCTCAGTGGGAGAACCCTGCCGGACCCAGAAGGCGTCCCAGTCCCAAAGAAAAGACAGGCATGGGGTTTGAGGGGCGTGGGAGTGGGGCGGGGTGGGGAGGAGAGCGCAGCTTAGCGGGATCCTTCTGGAGACAGCACCCAAAAGGAAGAAAGAGTTGGGGGAGAAAAGGAGCCCTCCGATGAGTGAGCCTAACAATAATCACCCGAAAAAACACGACTTCTGCCCGCCCTCTTTGCAAGCAGCACTGACAGAGGAGTGTCAAGAGTGACAGGGACAGGTAGATGAAATCATATCCAAAGAGGCGGCGGCAGCAACAGCGGCGGCGAGAGTCCTACCCTCAAAACGCGCTCGCGCGCGCGGGCACACACACACACACACACACGCGCGCGCGCGCGCGCGCACACACACACACACACACACACACACTCACGGACACTCACGGACAAGCGCACTTACATGCGCACAAGCCCACACGACCCCCTTTCTCTAGCCCTGCCTCACACCCAGATTCGCTCACAGCACCCAAGCAAGCAGCGGACTCGAGCAGCGGCTCAGCCCCTTCCCTGTTGGCCTAACATCTTAAAACCAGAGGCGGTCTTCCTTGGGCACAAACGTCATTCTGCCCCTTCCCTTCTCAGCCCTTCTCCACCTCCTCCTCCTCCTCCTCCTCCTCCTCCTCCTCCTCCTCCTCCTCCTCCTCCTCTGGAACCTCCTCTCACGGCTGGAATGACGTCGCTGTCCACCAATCAGGAGGCTTGAGAGTTGAGGAAGGGAAACTATCTAGACCGGCACCTATCAGGGGAGTCGGGCTGGGCTAAATAATTCACTTTTCAGATCAGGTCTGTTAGGGACTCTGTCCTGAGAAAACGTCTCTGTCTTTCTCTATCCGAACGTCAGGAGATTTTCATTTTAGGAAGGGAGGGCATATGAGAACCTCAGAAGGCCCCGGGAGCGGGGAGAAGAACACAGGAGACAGGCTCAGTACGTTTCATCTTCCTTTTCTGTGCCTCTCCAAAATCAGTGCCAATCTAGACAATTAGGTGCATTAAACGATGCTTCGTTTGCTTCCCACAAGGAAAAAAAAATTAATCACCCCCATCTCAAAATTTCCTATTCCAAATTTCTGTCTGTCAGGCATATACTACCCTAATCTTCTTATGCTTTACTTTAATTTCAAGGAAGACAAACCCCCAAGAAGACTACTGATAACTAGAAGCAAATGGAGTCTCTGTCACACAAACGACAAATATCTTGACTAGAAATGAAGAATTATTATTCATACTAGATATTTTTCATAAAATATGCCATCAGATCACTTTCTCAGAAAATGTTCCCTTTAGACGACCCCCTCCCCCTCACTCCCAGCAAATGTTACAATGGGATAGAAAGTCCAAAGTAGCGCTTGCCAAATGACTGAAGGCTTATCCTTGCTACTTAACATTGATTAAGATACATATCCTAGATCTTTTAAATTCCTGGTACTCTGTATTAAGCTTGTCCTCACTGAAACCCTGCTTTAAATCTGACTCACTTGTTTACTTTATTATCAATCAGCTTCAAGCCCACAAAGCCCAAAGAATCAACAAAGTTGGGCTAATTACATATAAGGTATGCTTTAATGAATGTTCCACAATTAAAAAACGCTTCCAAATTTCTTATTTCAATGTCAATTAAAAAAACCTCTTAATTACATTTTCTGGTTATATTTTCCCCCATTTCTCTCTCTCTCTTTTTAATCCGGTGAACTGCGATCTATAAGCCCCAAAATCCAGGGGGTATGGGGTATCACGGAAGATAGAAAGTTTGGAGTGAGAGCTGAGCTAGATAATGTAAAACCTTACAGATTTATAAAGCCAAGAGAAAACACAACCCTTTGGGACACAGAACATTCACAGCGCTACTGCTCTTAGTCAATAATCTATCCCGTTTATAATATATATATATTTTTTCCTAAATGGAATCCAAGTAATCGATTAGAAAAAAGAATAAAACAGAAAACAACTTTGTCCTTCTGTAGGTCACACAGAGATCGCAAACTAATCTCTCCTTGGGTTTCTGCATTTGTGATTGTTTTATTGTGGAGTTAGTGTTATCGTCACCGAGTGTGTATTTGTTTGACGTTACTGTCAATGATTTGCAGCATCAATACTGGGTATCTTCAGAAATTCTACCTCTTTGGCCTTGTTCACATGATTTGGAAACTTATTTCAGTCTGGAAAAGGGCAGAACTATCAGACTGCAAATCTATTTGAAACCTGTGTCTTTCCTTTGTACTGCCGAAAACAAGCTCTTTCCACACCCCTCCCCATCTCCCCCCCCCACTTTTAAACAACCCTGGAGGAATTAGTCTAGAAAAGCAAATGAATGTTTGTCTTTCTTTCCCCACAATTATATTCAAACTTTTACGAGAATTTAGCTACTCCAGGGGCTTTCTTTATACTTGACATATCATAAGCTAAAGTATATTTCCTCACTTTAGCTGTCTCTTCCACCGGTCATACCCCATCCCCTCCTCACAGCACACACCTGATAGGATCCCCTATCCTCCTTCTTAAGATAGGTCCCCGTTAGCTGATGCTCATAAGCGCCTCTATATTATATCTTGCAATCTTATCACTAAATTATACATATTACGTCGACAGCCTGTTGGTAAAGAAGGTTAAATTAATTTACATTCTCCTCATTACCTGGTGCTTAAATGACGTGTTTTATCCCTCAGATTTGGCAAAGAATCTCCTTCTCAGACCCCACAGCGTTTTCGTGAAGACAATGCTCTTACATTTGTAGTGGTTTTTAATCTGATAAGACTCTAATTTGCTTAAGTCTGTTAAATAAGGGTTTTAAATGATTCTGGACGTTTTCTTATTGAATTTCCTCTAATTCCCCCAAGATCATAAAGTATATGTGTAAAGTAAATATTTCCTCCCATTGCACCGCCAGCCGATGACCTATAACTAAGTCAATATGAATCCAGCTCCATTCTGCACAATGTATTTACTAATCATATTCCCGTCTCTTTAAACCTCTGCATAGCTGCGGTCCCACCAAACCTCACTTCCCCCAAAGCTCTCTTTAAGGAATGGACTCCATCAAGGGATGAAAAAAATACCGCCCCAGTTGCCTCTTTTCCTTCTCCTTCAAGACTGAAACCCCAGTGCTGTCAAGTTTGCTTTGGTTGAGGGTAAGGAGGAAGGGGAGCCATAAGAAAAAAAATTATTAGGTTGGAAAGTTAAGACCCTCAACGGTTTCCTTCAGGTCACAGAGCAGCCCTCAACCTCCAGCCCCATTAAAGTAAAGCAGAGAATTGGTTTACCTATTCCCAGTAGGTCTAACTGGACAATAGCTTTTTCAACAAGACAAATAGCGGCGAAATATGATTAATTTCTTCATCTTTAAAATGTCTGTATTAGGCTAGAGAAGATCGCTAGCTATTCTTTCCGCTCCAACATTCTACAGTGATTCTATATAGTCTTCCCAGGCAGAAGGAAGGGAGGGGGGAAAATGGGAAGGCGCGAACATTTTAGTTTATTATGGACAAAGTCAATTCATTTAGAACGATTCAATTCAATTGAGGGATAAATAACAAATATTTATTAATCTCATGGTTTATGTCGGGAGTAGTGCTAGACTGGCGATACAAAAACAAAAACCGGAAACGATACCTGCCCTCAAGAAGTTTGCGCTTTGATTAAAAGTAAGGGAAAGGGAAATCGAGTTTACCTGTTTCTCTACTACCTCAAAAATAGGAAGCTTTTAAGTTGTTCTACACGTGCAGAAATAAAAAGGGAAATAGGTCCAAGTTATCAGGAGGCTACGGATTAAAAGGCAATTTCCTGAATTATCCAGATAACTAAGACTAGTTTCTTTGCATTGCATTTCTTTTACGTTATCTAGGCTTCCATTCTCTCTTTCGGTTTAGACACTTTTTCCACCTTACTGAACACTACTAAAGGGTTCAACAGCACAGAAGTGGCTACTGAATTTCCACTTGGAAGAAGAGACTTAGGAAAGCATATCGGGGCTGGAGATAAAAAGCTTTACTCATTAAAAAAAAAAATAAGCTGAGGCGTTGGAAGGGGGAAGAAGTTATTAATTTCCAACTGCCATCTGTGACGATTTCTGGGTCTTCAAATTTAAAATGAAGGAAGGGCCTAGAAACAGAGGTGTGCTTGAGCGTGTGTGTATGTATGTGTGTGTATCTGTATTGGGAGTTGGGCTGGGGGAGTTTAGGTCTAATAAGACTTTGGATTGGATGCTTATTTGTCTGGTTGTACAAATTATTTTGATCTGCCTCTAACATAGAAATTTGCAATCGGGAAAAATCAACATCTGACATAGTGAAGAAGCAGCGAGGTGCTAGTGTTGATCACTCGGGACAGGGTGGGGGTGGTGGTGGGAATTGAAAGAGAAAGCGAGCATAAGAGTTCAAGTCCTAGGGACATTAGAAAGTCGTCTCCATTGGGTTTCTCTTAATTTTACCAAAGAAATACTGCTAGAGAAGTGGAATGTCTGACATGAGGTCAGACATGTTTTGAGCTTGTATTTAACTAACGATGCTTCGTCTTGAAGTCTTATTTAATTTCGCACTAGTTAGTATTTGTTGCTCCTGCCCTCCCCTTGCTTTCCCAGTAATGAGCTCAGATAGGCAGGGTATAAAAAAAAAGGTGATTAAAAGTTACCTAGAGACGGGCTTTGCTCTCCCAAATTCCAGACTTCATGGAGTTCTCTGAACCCTAT